AACAATCAAGTAAGAAACCCTCCCCTTTACCAAACAAAAAACACCTACCAAAATGGGAAGAACACATCTAGTGAGTCCCTCCCGATTCACTATCCGGGTGGGAGGACGTAGCTCCCATCTAGAGTGCCCTCGGCCAAGTTGGAACTCCTTGGTCAGAGCTTTGATTCATCACTACCCTCTTGAGAAGCCCCCAATTGTAACCAAGGTGGCGGCTGCTCCAGAAGCTTCCAAATATGAGACCCACCCATCCAATCAAAAGCTCTCGGCGGCCCTCAGTGACACCACTCGGTGCCCTTCGGCGGCCTGACGCGGTGCCCTTCGGCGGTACCACGCCCTCGGCGGTCCACTGAGACCGTTGCCTAATCACTAATCCCCCAAGAATCTTCAGTCACGACCCCCTCGTCCCTAGGCATAAGGCCCTCATCACCATCCCATGAGCACATTGCAACCCTAAACTCTTAGCCAAGGTCAAGTTCAAGGAAGGAGGACCCTTCGGCCAGATGAATTCCTCCTATCCGCAGGCCCCAAGCAGCGGTTATACTCTATTACTATCACCATTCGTTATTTATTAATATATATATATATATATATATATATATATATATAGATTTAGGTTCATGTGAGAAAATGATCTTAGGAGAGTAAAAAAGAACAAATCACAACCATTAGATTAACAATTTTTTTCAAACTATCGTATACATATGTAAATGGCCTTTTTGTCATTTTATCAATGCATTAATTAGCTTAAAACTTAGCTCCGGAATTGGTGGCACTACTTTGACGAGTTGGTATTACGGGGGTATATATATTAACTACTGCCTTTTCAATTGTTTTATTTTATAAAATCATTTCTTTCTCTTATTTTTTTCTCTTATTATGTGTTCCATGTCCTTTATTCTCTTAAATGCTACGAAGTACTTAGTATGATGTTACTACTCCGTATTAGATTATATTTTTTTATTTTTTTTCAACACTATAAAATTACGTTACTCTCTTTTTGCCTATCGGTATGCTCTTTATTTAGTAAGTAATAAATATATTGTTTTACTTTGTCACAATATATTTTTTAAAATATTTATTTTCTTCAACTCTCTAATTATAGTTAAAAGTGCATTGAACTAAGCATTCAAAGTGCATGGTATCCAGATTTTTTTATGATGCACCTTTAAAGTGTACAATGTGTATAGAGTATTATTTTTATTAAATTGTGTATAAAGCTTAATTATGCAACTTAAAAGTTCAAAAATGTAAGATTCAAAATAAATTGCATATGATTTAAATAAAAGTCTGTCCACTTAATAAATAAAATATTATATTGACTATAAAGTTCATTTTTAAATACTTCACCCGTAAGTGCATAACAAATTAACAAAAAGTGAAACTACTTAATAAATAATTACATGTTCATCTACATTGCACATTTATGCACACTTATGCACACATGACACATCCACTTAATAAATAAAATATTATAGGGACTATAAAGTTCATTTTACTTATAATTTACTTGTAAGTGCATAACAAATTAACTAAAAATGCAACTACTTAATAAATAATTACATGTTCATCTAAAGTGCATTTGTATGTACCCATATTGCACTAAAAGTGAACATAATTGCACTAAAAGTGAACATAATTGCACTTAAAAACATTATTAGGTGTGCATAACTACATGGGTAGAGTGTAGGTCAATGTTATAAAAAGTGCAAACTAAGGATGTTTTTTTTTGTACTGAAATTTGTTGGTCTGATGATCTGGTTTGGAGTATATTCTTATAAATAAAGTGCATAACTATTTAGAAGATTTTGCATCAAATAAATAACTAAAGTGCATTTCCGAAATCTCATTTTAAGCTTTCTTTTTTTGGATTAATCTCATTTTAATCTATGTAAGTTTTTTTTGAACGAATTTTAAACTAATTAAATTAACTTTTAAATTGGCAATGATCGGTTAAAAAATGGGTATGATAAATATGATAAATAAATCGTAGCACTATGTAAATTTGATACTCCATATTAAGAATCACTTTTCATGGAAAGTAAGTTAATAATGCCCATTTTAAAGGATATTGTTCCAATATTTATGGAAACAATATGGACCGTGCATGTGATAAATTAAATAAAAGCATTAAAGATAAGTTTTTAGGAGGTACGGTTCATTTGCATGAGTAAGTATTTTACTATACTAACCTCAGCATTAATTCGCTTACCAACATGTTTAATATATCCCATACGAGTACCACTTAATTGCAAGAGTGCCATCAGTCATTTAAAGTTGATCTTAACCATTCAATGTATATAATTGATGGTTGGATTTCATTCTTTTTTCCTCTCCTGGGACATGGTTCTCACATGAACCCTCCCCTATATATATATATATATATATATATATATATATATATATATATATATATATATAACACCTTAAGAAAATTTTGCAAAATCGCCTCTTTACCCCAAGCCCAAGGCTTTAGAATTAATCAAGCTTCTCCCGGCCCAAGGCCTTTGTAAAAATAAAAACAATTCTTTCTCCCTTGCCACCATCCCAACCTAGCCCTCCGCGCCAGGCGCCGAGGCCGAGGGGCGAGTATATCGCCTGCTACACCATGACACCAAGTGCCTTAGCCATGAGGACATGAGGGCCTCATGCAAGCCGTTCCCTTGAGAACGCACTCCAAATTCCCTCATCAAAAAAAAAAAGATGGGGATGGGGGATCACTACCCCTCGGCCTCGGAAGGTACCAAGTACCTCCGGCCATTTGTGTCCAGCACACAAATTAAACCCTTCACTGAAACGCTTTCCGCGCCATTCCCCAAGGGAGTGGCGGGCAACGGACCATGTCCCGGGCCCAGGATTTGACTTTCACAAACAAAGCACTTCCCGCGCGATCCCCCATACATATTTCATGTATACTACCCCTCGGCTCTGGCAGGTACCATGTACCTCCAGCCATTAGTGTTTCATACACAAATAAAACTCCGCTTTTCGCGCCATCCCCCAAGGGGAGGCGGGCAACGGACCATGTCCCGGGCCCAGGATTCGACTTTCAAAAACGAAACGCTCCCCGTGCTATCCCCCAAGGGAAAGCAGGCAATAGACCATGTCTCGGGATGAGGGGACGCCTTTCAAAACCGAGGCGCTTTCTGTGCCATCCCCCAAGGGGAGGCAGGCAACAGATGATGTCTCGGGCCGAGGAAACGACCCTCAAACCCCTCGGGATCTCGGAAGGTCAATTCCCGAGGGGGGAGCCAACGGTTTGTTCCGTTGCCTCCCACATAGGCCAAGCCTCTCCTAGAAACCAAGTTTCTTGATGCCCCTCCTACAACATAAAAAAAAAAGAAAAAAAGAAAGAAAGATGTGTAGGGGGGAAGGAACTCCTGGATGCCATGCTCCCGGAGGCTCTTCAACAAAAGACAACGCCACATGATTGTTTTCCCGAAGGCTCCTTGTTCAAAAAATTGAACAATTCTCGACATCGGAGTCAACTCGGCTGAATACCCAATCATGAGGGCTATTATCCCGAAGGCATTTTCATACCAAAGTGAAGAATTCTCTACGTCCAACACAGCTCAAGTCGAATGGCCAAAGGCTAATCAACTGATGAAGGCCTTAAGATTTCATTACAAGGTGGGATCCATAAGCGGGAGCCTTCAATATTTCAAGAACCCCTCAGGGAAACTATAAGCAAAAATGGCATTTACAAAATCAACACATATAGCCTTCGGGCAAATATCAAAATAAACCCCTCGGATGCACCCTACAACTACACCCTTCAGGGAAAGCAAAATTATCAAAATTTTGCAGAAGTCACTTGCAACGATGAAGCAGCCTTCAATACAACACATACAGGCAACACATCTGCATTTCCCTTAGAAAACCCTCGACATGTGGGGGACAGCCCTCGGCAAACACCAAAGATGGTCAATCGAAGTCATCCGCCACGGTGAGGAAACCCCAGTAAGCAGGGAGCCTCCGGCTAAATCAGCGCATCAACACAAGCACTCCTTTTCCCTCAGAATGCCTTCGGCAAAACCAGAGAAGAAGGGACCAGTTAAAGGGGCCTACGAAACGAGGATGCCTTCGGGAGAATCACCACAATTACTCTTTTACCCTCAAATACCTTTCGACAAAAGGGGTGGGGGACTCCTGATGGAGTATATGGCCCGGGAACCCCTGGCCCACAGACTCCTACTATTCTAGCACAGGCCCAACAGGCCCGAGAAGCACAAGAGGCCCAAAACACAGCAGCCCAAGCTCAAAGGAGCCCAAGGTGCGCCCAGGGTAGCCTTCGGCAATATGGCCGAAGGCTCCAGAACTCACAAGGCATCCAAATGTGAGCATACAAAGCTACTGGGAGAAAGTGGCAGAAAATAGGAGCCTTCGGCACTTTCGTGCCTTCGGCATCAGGGAAGCCTTCGACTATACAGCGCCCTCGGGCCTCGGCTGCACAGAGTCCTCGGCCGCAGGGGGAGCCCTCGGCTAACAGCTCAATCATCGAAGATTCCCTTTGGAGACAAGCAACCACCGCATTTAATGCGGCGTCACATCCACCCACCGCATTTAATGCGGTGCACATGCGAATGCCGGTGCCACCCGATTGAGGTGACCCCTCGGCCGTTAGATTGCTGACACGTGTACTCTCATCGCATTTATTGCTGCTATAAATACCACCCCCTTTTCCCATTGTAAAGGAGCAGAACATCTCGATTTCATTAATACAATCGCCTCTCTCTCTCTTACTTGTTTGCTCTGACTTCTCTCTAGGTTATTCTCACAATAACCCCCCGGATAAGCTACCCCCGGGTACACTGTTCATCACCGAGAGTTTCAAAATAATCTTCTAATTCCTTTTTTGGCAAATAATTTGTGTTCACAATATTTTTTTTACTTATTCTTATACATTTAGCTCTACTTTGTACAACTTTCCACTATACAATTCTCATTTTCTTAATCTATGTATAAAATCTCATTTGTAAAACAATTTAGGGATGGGATCATGGGGGTAATAATAATTTTTCGCATTAGTGTGAATACTTGAAACATATATGCCACAAACTAGACAAAAGTAATTTTGAATCGAATAACCAGTTATAATTACTACACAAAGAATAACAATTTTGATACATTTGTGATTGGGAGAGATTCTTCATAAGGAGTCTAAGCCAAATATCTTTTGATGAAGTAGGACACGGATTGATAAATCCTTCTAAATTAGTGCCATAGTTTTTTGTCACATAGCAATTAGTATGAACTTATGATACAAATTTGAGCCCCCTGATTGGATTAAACCAAATGAACATATCCTCAAGCCGATACTCGAATGGGTTGCTGCAATGGGTGAAAGTGCAATGTGGTATCACACCTGAACCTCATTATTATTTCACCACTTTATTATTTATTGCAGTCTTGACCGAAACCTTCAAAACTACTCGCTTGTAAGATAAAGTGGCACACCCATTGTTTCAGCAACAGATATGGTCTGGTAGTAAGCTAATGCGAAAGGCAATGTGGACTTCCCCAACTGAGAAACCCAACGCGGGAGCTTCTTGAACACCATATCCATTTCTGGAGTCTGCTGATCATAATCAACTCTCAACTTCAGCAACAAATTACCATCCTCATTGAACCTCTTCTCACCTGCCCATGACTTCTTCATTTTCCGCCAATAAAGAGTCAGGTTGAACTCCCTTGGTGCATTTCTCCCACCAGCAAACTGAACTAGGTGCCAACCATCCAAAATGTTCTTCTCACCAAGCGAAATCAACTCTCCCTCACCATCTGCATTATATCCCCAAACATTAGTTTCAAAATGAAGAACAAATATATCCCTCCGGATGAGATTAAGAATCCACATGAAAACCTTAAACGGAAACACATTTGTTTAAAGACCAACAAATTGATCACATTTAATTTTTAAGAGGTTTTTGCTTGGACTAATTTTAGTACCAAACCAGATCAACTCGTAAGACTTAAATAATCCAGACTAGTCCAAACCAGATTTAAACATACCAGACAAGTCCAAACCAGACTTAGACAACAGTAGAATGTACATAATACCATACTTCATCGTAACAGACTTAAACTGACCAGATCAAAATTAGACCTGACCAAAAATATAGTCCAAGTAAAAACATCATTAGTGTGAGTTATCTATGTGCATTATGAATTATCACTTAGTTTGAGAACCTAACCTAATTATTACTCCCCTGTCTTCAAATAATCTTCCTGCTTTGACTTGGCACACATTACAAATCATGGTTGAAACTTGAAATAAGAACACTTTATTAATATTTGAGTTAAAATGAGTGAAATGATAACAGGCACAAATTTATTTTTCAAAAAAGAAGTAGCAAAATTGGTAATGAAAAAGGGAGAAGTATTTCATTATATATATGTGATCCATTACCTGATACTCTTCTAGATAATTGGTTCATTGTTTTTAGGCTTTTAACCTAATTATTACATGCATGGACTTGATTTATGTGTACTTGTGGTGGGTTATAAGTTAAACTAGATAATTAAGTTGATCAAGTTTAATTTCTTGTCCTAGTTTCTACATGAACTCTAATAATATGTGGTGTAAATGAAGGGATACATGTACCTTCGAGCTGAAAGTCTTCAACTTCATCTGTATTAATCGATAAGCACCAACGAGAGGAAGTTGATGTATTGATATTGACCACACTAGTTTTCGTGTCTCCCTGTATATCACTAGTGACATGACGAAGTTCGGGAATTTGGGGTCTCTTCAAGCTATGTTCGGCATTCGGATTTGTCCAGCAGCTGTACTTGACTTTAAAAGTCACAAAATCAAAAGACCTGTCTCTTCCACAAACAAACCCTTCTCCAAGATTTTCAGCCTCCACATCCAGATTTCCCGGAGTTGACGAAAACAGGGAGATGTGTGACATTGTAGAGTTTCCGGTAGCATTAATGACTTGCACAACCTACAAATACCCCCATTATGGATGATTTATCATCACATTATATGTACACTTTTTAATTAGGTCCAACGCACCCAAAAGAATCATCAATAGGTGTGGTTGTCATACTTATATACTCCCTCCGTAACATTCATATCTTCCCACTTTCCTTTTTTGGACGTAACATTTATATCTTCCCATTTCTAAATCTTCCCATCATACCCTCAATAATTTAAAAAATAATACACTACTACACCTACTTTTTTTGGATTTATCCTTCATTCCATCACATTATTTCACCATCTTCCCATCATACCCTCAATAATTCATACTCTATTTCACTATTCTTAATCTCACCCACTTTGGAAGTGGGAAGATATATCTGATACGGAGGGAGTATTACATACAAATCTGGTAAACATCTGATATATGATACTTCCACTCACAATAGAACTCAGGATTTGTATTTAATGGGCATGGAGATTAAATTTTGCTATCTGTTATTTTTACTTGGTTTAGGATTTACTCACGTTCACCGCTCTAACAGTCTTGCAGGTAAAAGGCGGAACCATGTCTTGTTGTACCATGCCGAATGAGATGCCAAACAAAATACAGGTTGCAACTATAAATCCAGACTTTGCCCCTGAAAAACATATAGTTTACACTACATATCAACTTTCAAGTAATTTGCAAATTTTTCCAAATAAAATGTGAGAATTGTTTAATACTTATAAGGCTCGTTGGCTCTTAACACTTATATTTAACTCTTTGGGATACTTGTAATGTGTACAACAACAACATCCAAGTCTTAGTCCCAAAAGATTTTGGGGTCAAACGAAAAGGGAAAAAAAGATAAGGAAGAAAAATAAGATAAGGTATGATAAAAGAAGACAATATACAATAGAGATAACATATACATAAAAATGATAAGATAAAAATGATAAAAGGAATATATATAAAGAGATAAAAGGATAAAAAAACATAAAAAAGAAAAAGAAGATAAAGGGGGGAAAAGATGATAAGAGATCAATCCGCCACACGAAAAAGAAGATAAAGGGCAGACGGTCTGCCCTCCACTTCACTATCTCCAAATTCATACCCTCTAAGTCTTTTCTCATACATCCAGACTGACTGGAAGTGCCGTCCAGCTCCCTCCATTTGAGGTGCTTTCCGGTAGAGTTTTTCGATGAAATTTTGTGACCATGTTATTCATGAAATTTAGATTAGGGAAAAGGGGCAAATAAGCCCTCGAACTAATCAAAAAAGTGCAAATAAGCCCTTTTGTAGGAGGTTCCGTCCGGCCATCGTCATTTGGGGAGGTTCCTGGTGGAATTTTTTGATGAGTTTTTTTGAGCATGTTATTCATTAAGTCTAGTTTAGTCATACCGAATTTCAGCTAAAAATTCAATCGGGAAGACAGTCAAATGAATTTTTGAAGATAAATGCGCAGTTAAACAACGCAGTATATTTCCGAAAATCATTTGAGTGCCTTCCCGGTTGAATTTTTAACTGAAATTTGGTATGGCTAAACTAGACTTAATGAAGAAGATGCTCAAAAAAATTTATCAAAAAATTCCACCGAGAACCTCCCTAAATGACGATGATCGGACAGAACCGCCTACAAAAGGGCTTATTTGCACTTTTTTGATTAGTTCGAGGGCTTATTTGCCCCTTTTCCCTTTAGATTATGTCCACAAAATCTGACCTTTAAATTCAATAAGGAAGACAGTTAAATAAACTATTGAAAAAAACTGCCTTTTTTATATACTACCTCCGTCCCTTTTTATTTAGCCATCTTTGACTTTTCCAATCAAAGATGATAAACTTTGATCCATTATTTTAACTAATATATTTACGTGAAACTTAATAAATTTATACTTTTATCATAGTATTCTTAACAAAGAACATTTCCATATAATTTTCATATTATCAATATTACCGTGTATAAATATATAATCTGTCAAAGTTGAACAACTTTGACTTGAAAAATAGTGTTTGGCTAAATAAAAAGGGGCGGAGGGAGTATATTTTGGCGCAGTTTTTTCCAATAATTTATTTAACTGACTTCACAATTGAACTTTAAGGTGAAATTTTGTGGACATAATCTACACTTAATGAAGAACAAGCTCACAAAATTTCATCAAAAAATTACACCCGAAGCACCTCAAATGGAGGCGGACGGACAGAACTTCCGGTCAGTCATGGAGCATGAGAAAAGTTCTTCTTAAAAACATACCTGAATTGTGAATATATGGTAGAAGATACACCATTGTCAGGCATATTGTAGCTGCCACAAGTATTGCAACAAGTACACTCCCCATCCAGTCTGGATGGGTGCCAGGGCTACTGTGTATCAGAAAGATAAAAGTTCCAAAATAATGTAAGACTAACTTAGAGCAATTGGTTTTTGCTATACTCATTATGTCCAGTATAATACGGAGTATGTAAAGAAAGATTGTCTAAGGCTCTAAGCATAGCTATATTACCTTCCAAATTGAACTAAACTTCCGATTAGTGTATTCACTAGCTGAACAAACACACCGGACGACACCACAATTGGCACAGTCAATCCGATCATCAAGGTTAGAGGGTTGAGTTTTTCGTTTGATCGTGCCAGTGCCTCAAGTAGACCATCTGCGAATTCCAAAAAATGGACCTGCTAATGAGTTAAAACATCCATCCAAAAAAGTACTTTTTGATACTACAAAAATATAACCGAGATAATTTATTTTTCTTTTTTTTGAAAATTTTCTTAAATATTTCTAAATGAGTAGTTTGATAAAATTGTTAGCTTTGAGTTTTAGGACATAATTATCACCACCAATCAATTATGAACAGTGTTATCAACCATCATTTGTCATGTTGATGGTTGATAACTGCTTTGGTGACAATAGTGTCCTAAAATTAAAGTTAATACTAGTATTTTTTTCAATGGGCATTTTATCAGTAACATTTAAGGAAAAATCATTATTTAGTAAAAAAAATAATAACAATAAGGGTTCAATCTCACATTCAGTAAAATGGTCAAACCTTATGATGTCTTGAGCTACTCCCAAAAGTTCAGTAGAAGTAGGTTTTAAGATTTTAATAGGTATGGTTAAAGCTTACAAGCAATTGCAGGTGAGACCATCCAAACCAAGGCCAAATAAGAAGAACCAATCTTGTAAGAGTTTCCCACTGACAAGACAAGAAGCCATTGCAACAGACCAGTTTTAAACATCCATCTCTCAGCATGTAACTCGGCCACCCTATTTCGGATGGTAAGAGGCAAAAACCCCTCTGTTTGTGTATATGTATATGATAAGAACTTGTGAAGAAGAAGATAAGCTACATGTTGACCAATGTAGGACCCGAGAAGAGCCGGTGAAGCAAACAAACCAATCACCAACCACGGGCTTGCAATAAAGGGGACTGGTGATTGTGATACAAGTGGAAGGGAGAAAGCAACGACGAGAGAGAAGCCAATTGAGCATATCCACATTGCAACAATACTCAAAAGTGAAAATGCCATTGAAATAACAGATGTCATCCCTCCCGCAGTCAATGATCCAGTCCATACCACAATTGATATCACTATCACTACTTTGTTGATCATATCAGCAAAAGTTTGGTTGTATACCATCATGTACTTCCCCTGTCATTTTAGAAATTTTGAAACCAGTATCAGTGGTCCATTGTCCAAACTATTGAAACTTGAGGTTCCATCCTACTAGTCAAACAATCCGTTTGAAGCAAGCAAATTTTTACATACCCTTATGGTTCATGCCGGTTTTGATTCCATATAAAATGACTTTATCTTAAAAATCAACCTAACAAGAGTAGCGCAATGTCACTATCACAACTTTGTTAATCATATTATCAAAAGTCTCAGTGTACAATCATGTATTTACCAGTTGATTTTAAAAATTGAGACACCAATATCTCTATAGTTGAATAGGTCAACTATTAAGACTTACGTTCTACCCTATGCGTCAGACATCTTTTTTTATTGTGTATATTTTACACGCCCTCATGGCTTGAACTTTCTTTCATATCATGATATATTTGAAATTTTACCACAAATTCACAAAAGATCAACCTAGTAAGAGGCACATCATAATATCATGATGCTGATTTTTTATTCTATATTTGGTCGATGCTTAAAAGTTAAAACACAAATCCCTAGATAATAAACAGAGACAACAAATAGGATATGTATAGGGCTCAAAGTACCAAGATATCAAAGTATACAACTGTATCCTCTGATATTTCAATAGATAAAGTCGCATTGCTTTGTGGAAGATCACTTGATTTTGCAGCCCGAAGTAGAAATGGAAGCATATTTTCACCTAAGTGTTGGAGAGAACCCGGTTTCAAAAGCTCAACCTTGTCATTCTGGATTAACAAAATATACTTGGATCATCACAAAAAAATTGACAGTAACAAAAATAAGAACCTAAATCCAATAAGAAAAAAATAAAATCTAACATAAAGGATGCACCTTAGTGTGGTAGACAGCTGTTTTGTGTGTAAATGCAAGGTCAAGGCCTGAAAGACCACCTATCTCTTGGTACACTTGAAAATCAGTTGAGGATTGTATTATCCCAGAAGAAAACAAATCCTTCAATACCAATTAAACCAAAACCATTTAATTTAAAGCCAATATAACTCCTAAATCAACTTGAAAAGTGCAAAAAAACCTTCATGAGTTCATGGTATGTAGAAGTTAGCACAATACTATCACATGTGATGTGCTAGTTTTTTTAGTATTTCTATCAATGTAGGCTTGCTTAACGACAATAAAAACAACAATTGCATATAGTAGACCTGTGAAATAATTTGGCCAGTTGGATATTTTGCGGCTTTTGCAAAATTTTGAATTGCCCATGGATCAGAACCTGCCTGAGAGCAAGTTAAGAAAGGAAATAAGAATTGAATGATAAAATGGTAAAATAAAAAGAGAACATCATTGAGATTAATGGTTTCTAGATGATGACATGCAATAACCACGATATAGACCTGAAATATTCCAGACTTCCCGCCAATACCCATGGCTTCCAAGTTAATAGCTACTCTGATCGTATTAACCCAAGGATGCTGCAGAAACAACACATGGAGGTCATTAGCTTAAAAACTAAAGTTAATTTATTTATTATTGAACTCATAGTGAAGTGTTCAAAATTACTCATAATCCAATATAATTGTCATTTAATTAAGAGAAATGGGTAGTATTCATCCACACCAATCCACCTGAGTTATAAAGCTATGAGAACCATCCAAGCCTTCTTCCTCCCCCGTATTGAAAAAGAATATTATAGAATTCTTAAAACCCCGAGCTTGATGGGAAAGTGCTCGAGCAAGCTCCAGCATTACCGCTACATTAGAACTGTCATCTCCAGCTCCCTCACTAAATGGAAAGAAAAGAACATCAAATAGAAGTATTTTGAATTCAAAAGTTGAAACTATCAACACCAGTGACCCCACATTTTGACCCAATAGGGTAATGGATGAGTAAATCATGTTACACAGTTCTTCTGCAAGGCGGGCAAATGCCTAATGAATCACCACACTAACTCCACACTCACTCATTAGAACTAAGACTTTGTTACTTTACGTTTTCATTGCCAAAGTAGTACTTAAAACTTAGAAGTGATATATTTTTTCACTACAAAAAGGTAAAACTATTTTACTATACTCCCCAAGTTTTTATTAGTGAGTTCATCCCGCTAAGATTCGCACATGAGAAAGTTGGACGATGATTAAAAAAATTAGAATTATTATTGAATATTTGAAATATGATTAGAAAATACATTAAATCATACAAATAATATCAAAGATATTACTGTTTAAAACAGATTTAGAGGGACAGACTAAAACAAAAGTTGGACAAAAATAACAAAATAAATAAACTACTTGTTAGGAGTTCTTTTATTTTTAGTTTGCTTTCTTCTCACTTCATCATTTCAACTACTCCGTACTATTCACTATTAATCTATTATTTTGCATTTTTTATATCCCCCCCATAAAGGGAGTTGACAAAGATCATAATACAGTCAGGCTGTAGTTGTTCTGTAAATTTGGACATATTTATTTCAAATTATTTATTAAATTTATTAAATAGTCCTCAGGGTACCGAAAGTTGAAACTAAAAGTTGATGAGAAAGTAGCTACGCTCAAATTATTGAAAGAAAAAGCTATTTATTAAATTCAGAAACCACTAAAAATATGAGTTTTTTTTTGCTAGTTAAAAATATGAGCTTTTAAGAATCAAAAATTAAAAACGCTTAGAAAGGATTAAGAGATTTGAAGAATGAAATTGAGGCACATACGCTGAGAAAACTGTATCGATGTGGGAAGAAACAAGAATAGCATTGTCTTGAGCTCTAAATTCAGAATCAGGTGCATAATTCCTTGGTGATACTCTTATTAAGACATGCTTGAGATCGGCATAAACTAGGGTTTTCGCAAAGTATCTTCCAGAAAAAAGATTGTTAACACCAGAGTTGGGTTTAAACAGTTCAACCTCCACCTCAACATCTTCGTCTGCCTCTTCCTTAATGGTTTCTGCAGCTTCCAATACATACTACAACCAATTTTAGGAGAAAGAAATTTCAATTCATCATCACTGTTAATGATAGTCGAAGGAATTTGTAAGCATTACAATTACAATAGTTATTCCATTTCATTTCATTTTTCCTTTGACGAGGCTTTGAAAAAGCTGCTTTCTGAATTTTTCTTATCTAGTATGATCGGGTGGTTAATGTTTGATCTGTGTATATTTTAAAATTATCCAAGTCTGGTCCGATTTATATTGATCTGGTCTAGTTTATCACTGAAAATTGTTCAAGTAAAAACATCCTTATTTGCTTACTTAAATAAAAAACGACCGCACCTACAGCTCTAGGGTTGCGCGAGGGGGTACGAAGCAGGCATAGGTGAATGTAGAGAGGAGCACAACTACGGCATCTGCTGCAGCTGAGGGTGGTGACGGAACAATCAGGCGACGCATGAGCATGAGCAGGGCAACGTGACGAGTTTTAATAATACTTGACACATTCAGTGTCATTAACTTGAATGCAATTAGAAATACAGTTTACAATACCACGCGTTTGAACAAAATTTGACTCATTAAGTCATATAAACTCAAAATTAAACAAAGTTCATAGCATATTAATGATACATTTAAAACATATGAGTAATAAAAATGTTACAACATTAAAACAAACAATACACTACAAGAGAGTACAAATATGAATCATGTTGTGCTCTGCGTCTTGAACACATATCTATCTCATTGGAAATTTTGTTTCTTGACGGCGTCCTGCTCGAAAAGTTCTGGAAGAGTATTTAGGCGGTAGAAGAATGTGGTAACTCATTCATATTCGGCAATGACATAATATTACTGGAATGTTCATTTTGTAAGAACTCGGTTTGTATATCTCGGGAATAAGTTCATCAACATGCCACTTAAGAAAATGACAAACACCATGCACATGGATGTGTCATGCCGTTCATCCTCCAACAACCACAATCACAAGCGCGACTCGATAGATGCACCGTAACAGGTGTTACATTTTCTACAGCGACTGAGTAAACTCTTATGTAGTGGTTGTGTGGAAGAACCATAGTGTGAGGTCTTTGGTGCCAACGCTACATAAGACCATAATAATCTCTTTTTGAATGTTGTCCAGAAAATGACATCCAACTTGCTGCCACATCATACCAGTACTACGACGTTGTGCTGAGAGTTGGACTAGTTTGTCAAAAGTCGCTCGTACAAGGGCAATGATTGGCAATGTCCTACATCCTTTTAGAGCATTATTGAAACTTTCCGAAAGATTTGTCATTAAAATACCATAACGACAACCGCCATCAATACAAAGTGCCTACTTTTCTAGGGGAGTGTCATTCAAATACTTGAATGCTCTCTCGTTAGTACCCCGAATTTGTTGCATGAAATGGAATTGAATGTAACAAATTCACGGGTACTAACGAGAGAGCATTCAAGTATTTAAATGACACTCCCCTAAAAAGGTGGGCACTTTGTATTGATGGTGGTTGTCGTTTGGTAATTTAACGACAAATCTTTGGGAAAGTTTCAACAATGCTCTCAAAGGATGTAGGACATTGCCAATCACTCCCCTTGTACGAGCAACTTTTGACAAACTAGTCCAGCTCTTAGCACAATGTCATAGTACTGGTATGATGTGGCAGCAATTTGGATATCGTTTTCCAGAAAACATTAAAAAAGAGATTGGTATGGAGTGTTGGCACCAAAGACCTCACACTATGGTTCTTCCACACAACCACTACACATGAGTTTACTCGGTCGGCATAGAAAATGCAACACCTATTACGGTGCATCTATCGAGACGCGCTTGTGATTGCGGTTGTTGAGGATGAACGGCATGCCATGCGTCCATGTGCATGGTGTTTGTCATTTTCTTAAGTGGCCTGTTGATGAACTTATTCCTGAGGTATACAAACTGAGTTCTTACATAAATGCACATTACAGTGATATTATGCCATTGCCGAATATGAATGAGTGGCCACAAAATGAGTTCATTCTTCTACCGCCTAAATACTTTTCCAAAACTTCTCGAGCAGGACACCGTCAAGAAACAAACTAGATTTCCAAATGAGATGGATATGCATTCAAGACACAGAGCACAACAAGATTGATTCATATTTGTACTCCCTTATAGTGTATTATTTCTTTTGTTTGTAGTTGGTTTTAATGCTGTAACATTTTTATTAGTTATATGTTTTAAATGTACCCTTAATATGTTATGAACTTTGTTTAAATTGTAAACTTATTTCTAATTCCATTCAAGTTAATAACATTGAATGGGTCGAGTATTTTCAAAACTCGTCTCGTTGCTTAATGTATTCATACTTTTATTTGTACTTTGTTATTTTTTGGTTTCATGTAATTTAATGGATATGGTTTTATTAAAATGTATGGTATTCTTTAAATTTAACTTTAAAATTATAAGAACTTTGTCAATATTCGGGTTCAGAAGATTTAATGGGTCATTTTTTGTAAATCGCGTATTCTTGATCAAAATTCAGGAGTGTCAAACACCTAATTCGATTTAAATGATAATATTGGACAATTTTTAATTATGATAACTTATGATTTATAACAAATACAAACAATTCCTTTCAAAAAACAAATACAAACAATTATAGAAAATAAAAGAAATAACAACCACAATTGGCATAAGTGTACGGAAACCACCCATTTCCAATGGGTGTGTGACTGGCGGCATTCTAAGAAGGCAAAAAATAATACACACATATACTCGTATATGCAATAAAAATAACTTCGGAGGGATGAACCCCGAAGCTGGGTTGACAGTACTGGCATCTCTGTTCTAGGCTATCTCGGAAAACCGAAAAAGAAATATCGTCCCAAATTGTTTTGCAAAGTCAACATTTTTTTGTCAACTAATAATAAAAGTCAATGCTCCCTATCGATAATTAGTTCAATTTTTAATAATTAAAATTTATATATTTAGAAATTACATTAAAATCTCTTCTAATATAATTAAAAATTGACATCCTAATTAAGCGAATAAAATGAAACTGTTTGATCAAGAAAAGTCAAATTTGCAAATCAATTTGGGACGGAGGTAGTATACTTTTTGGAATAAAATGTTACAAACACACACTTATCGGTCAAACACCCTACAAAATTTTCATTGTGCACTAAAGTTGAGTGTTAACTCATTCAAAATAATTCTACTTCTAAATTGATGTACTCTACTTCTCATGTCCCATTCAACTAAAATGAAACATTTCTGCCTCCTGCTTTCATATTTGAAAAATCCCTACATTAGCTCTTGGTATAATATTTAAGGGAAAAAATGTATGTGTAATGAATAGTGTAGAAAAAGTAGGAGAAGATGTGAAAAAATATGAAAGAGAAAATAAAAGGTAAAAAAAAGTAAGGCCGTGGTAGTTAGGTATTTTTAAAGAAAAATTTACCAAAATGAAAAGTATAGCAAACTTTTAAATAAATCCCAAAATAGGAAATTGTAGCAAATTTTTAAATATGATTGAAGTATTTTAGACTTATGAAGTATGCTTTTGGAAAAATTATTTTGGACTTATGATGTACGTCAAATAATAGTGCAAGATCTAGTACGACTGAGTATAAATTAAAAAACAGAGCGTAAAATCAAATTCTCTCTTACGTAGTGCTACCTCCGTCTCTAAATGTTTTTCCAAAATAAAGTGGCACACTGATTAAGAAAGTGAGAATTGTGTGGTGGAGAGTTGTGCAGAGGAGAGAGAAATGCTGTGAACCACAAATTCTTTATCAAAAAGAGAAAATGAAGTTCTTTTTGGACGAAAAGGGAAAGTTGGAAGTTTTTTTAGGGACGGAGGAAGTATTAAATACCATGAAAACATATGAAAGAGGTATGTGTGAAAGAGCCACTGAAATGACTCCAAATAGTAAATAAATTATTGATAATAAGTTCGCAAAGAAAATCAAATAGTACTATGTAGTACGGAGTACATTTTATACGAAGTATATCCTCAAAATGTGACTTAATTAGTCATAATAAAAAGTTAAAATGGGAAAAAAGTGAGTGTGTCATTTTTGGAAAAGACGATGATAGCCCCCTGTTTGAAACAATGTCGCCTTTTTTTTATGAAATATATAAAAAAACTATACATAATGGTGAAGTAATACGCCTAGGAGTAATATTTTGAACAAGTTAAAGCTACAAAAATGATGAAGTGTAAAAAGGGTGACAAAAAAAGTGCTTGTATATGCCATAATAAATTACTACTCCGTAGTACTTTCAAGAAATATTTTGAAAAAGTCTCATTTCATCTATGTTTTTAGGATTATTTCAAAACTAGCATTTGGCCGCGCAAGGCACGACAGTCCATGCCCAATAAATACTTAATAACAATAATGTATTAAAATAGGTATCATACTAATGTATTTGAGGTAATGCTGTACGTGAAATATTAATTACTTGATGTAGTTTACTTGTAGAGACAAAATAATCTCACCAAATAATCTTCATCACCCGATCATGATCCAAAAAATCTTATGTTAGTTACATCATCAACTTAATCCTCTAATAATCCTATGGATGGAGATGCCCTTAGTAGTGACCATCTCAAGTTGCATTGTTGTGGAATGGGATATCTTTGTTTTGTATACTCCCCATATTTACCTGGTGGAATTTTAGGTGCTTGATGAATTTGAGATTTAAAAACTCTTAAACGTGGCAGGTTTTAAAATGCTAACAATATTTAAAAATTAAAAAAATGAGATTCAAATAATGTTACAAATAGACAGTCATACTGCTTAACTTTTTTCAAAGGGGAAAAGGGGTGCGAGATTTAAATATTACAAGTATTATGTATGGTTTAATTTTATAGAGCATAATAAATATAATACATATTATAAATTAGTTTTGAAATTAATACGGAAGGACTACTCTAAACATGCACAACATCGTAACAGTGGATTTTTATGCTTATATATGTGCTTTTAGTTTTTAATAACCTCACTTGACTTAGCCAAACATTTGCTTTGTGCAACAAAAATTATAAGTGATGAACAAATAAAATGCTTATAAGTGAACAAATAAAATTATGAGAGGGTGGCGTTCAAAGGCTTGTCCGAAATCCGAAATTCCGAATGGTTTGGGGCCCATCTCGAATCTCCCTATTGCCCTACTTTTTACTATTTCCGTTTCCAAAAACTTTATGTCTGAAGAAACATATGCTGAAGTATTAATTTACGCTGAAGAAACATTTAATTGGCTTAGTTAACGGAAGATAGATTTTGACGACGTATAAGGCTATATAAGTCCGTGTGAGAAGTAAAGTCTCACTATTTAAGAACAATGTACAAATTATTGACTTATTGTGCATAGAATGTATTGACATAAACAATGAGTACTAACTCTCATTCATAATTATAAGGTTTTTAGATTTTTAGATATAAGTGTCAGACTTTTCTTTTTAGCAAGAAACATGTGATCTATAATATTTCACTTTATATAATTGCGTCAAGTCAAAATATGACACAAAAAACGAGACGAAATTAGTACTCCCTCCGTCCCATTTAAAGATTCACATACATTATTCTCCGATCAACGTGCATTGTTTTTAATCTTTTACTTTATATATCGAAAGTTTATGAACTTTAAATTATTTTTTGCAGGTTTTGTAGCGGTTTTAATGTAGTTTTTGAATACATAAATTTTATTTATTAAAAATAATTCTATTAATGACATGGATCGATTAACTTTATGGTCAGTCAAACGTCGTAAATCGTGTGAGAATCTTAAAATGAGTCGGAGAGAGTTGTAATTAGGTAGGAAGATGATTTACTTGGACGGCATGGTCAAGAGCAATAGAACCGAGGTGATGGGGACCGAACCGAGCCAAAGCCTGAAGATGGTTGAATGCGGCGACCTCGGAGAAGCCGCTTTCTCCGGCAACCTCCGCAGTCAGCGGCTGAGGGAGAACCTTAACCTGCAAATGGTAAGACACCCACGATGCAAGTGCTATAAAGGCAATCAGAAACAGTAACTCATAAGCTGCGCCTCGCCTCTCTCCGCCCATTCCTCAACCTCTTTACACTAATACAGTAGTATATGCTAGCTGGCTGCCTGGCTGTATGCCAGTATATGATTATGGGGATTAGGATCCAAAAATGGGTCACGAGATTTGTGAAAAAGAGTACTGTCTTCCTGAGCTACTTATCTTATCACATTATATATTAGTACTCCGTATTACGTATACACTTTTTTCTGTTGACGAAATTTTACCAATTTGCTACTCCCTCCGTCCTTTATAACTTTGCCAACTTTCCTTTTTTGGATGTCCCATTAACTTTGCCACTTTCCCATTTAAGTAAAGAATTTGTGGTTCCAGTTAATTCTCTCTCCTCTGCACAAACCTCAACCACACAGTTTTTACTTTATTAATCCTCTTGCCGGTCAAACTTGGCAAAGTTATTAGGGACGGAGGGAGTATCATATTTATTTGATGTTGCCATGTTTTGGAAAAATGCAATGTACAAATGTTATAATATATGGAGTATCATATTGAGTTAATTAAAAGTAGTGTTTTCATGATTCTCACGTTAAGCATGATTCTCGTTAGAAGCGAACCGTACATAGAGATTAGAGAGAGAGCCCATTGGTAACACTGAAATCAGTTAAATTGAATGATTCTGCTGAAATTTATAAACATTTTGGTTAGAGTGGATGTATTGGCTGATTATGCTGATTTATGGAAAAAAAACATATCAGAAAAATATTTTATTAATTAAATAAAGAAAAAAATATGAAAATAGTTAAAATGGTCATCTACAGTAACTCAGTCAATACAGTCATAAAAGTAACTTCAATCTTATTTTTTCTTATTATTACACAACTCAATGCGCGAAATCAAAAGTTACGTGTTTGGTTAAAAAGGTGGTATAAGCCAAACGGGCTTATAGTTCCCAATGAAGGATGATCGAGGTGCATGATAATTGTCAAGCCGCAGCCATCCGATGTGGTTCCCAGTTGAGTTTTTTAATAAAACTTTGTGATCATGTTCTTAAAGAAGTGTAGATTACGTCAAGAAAATTTCAGCTCAAAATTCAATTGGAGAGTTAGTTAAAATAAATTATTGAAAAACATTGCGTTTTTATATTACGGAGTAATATACATTTTGACACAGTGTTTTCCAACAATTTATTCAACTACTTTCCATTTTGACACATTTGGACATAATCTACACTCATGAAGAACATGCTTACAAAATTTCATCAAAATATTTCACTGAAAAATCAGATCAAATTGCGGCAGCCTGACGGTGATTCTGAAAGCTGATTTTTCTTGGATAAATTTGATTTTTCCCTAATAATAAACATTTCAGCGCTAATAAAATTAGGATTCATATATCGATTAGTTACATTTTCTTTGAAAAAAGAAAACATATAATTTGAATGTAATGTAGAGAAACAAATTTTTACTCAAATTTTAGAATAAATAAGAATTCTTTGTATAAAATAGTAGTCCGTACATATTAAAGTGACTTTATGGTTCGCATATAATATTGTGACTTTTATCAGTAAAGTACTCCGTACAAAGTGACTTCTTAGATGTTTTAAGTGAGAGAAAAGTTAGCAAGGATCCGTGGATCACGGGTTCAATTCAAATGATTCGGTTTTCACCTAAAACCAAATGCGAATCAAAGTAAAAAGTTTGAATCGGTTCGGTTTTAAGCTCAAAATTTTGAAATCACGGTTTGTTCAGTTCGGTTTATTTCGGTTCGGTTTCAGTTTTTTTCGATTTTACCAAATTATTTTTGTTGATTAGAAAAGTAGTAATTGAAAAACAAAAACAAAACAATAAACTACATCAAACTATTATTAATAGCACTACAATAAAAAACATACATAATTAAAAGAAAGAAGAAATAAACGCACTTCCAAACAATGAATTAGAGAGTACGTGTATACCAATTTAAACATTTTCTAACTTAATTTAAACACACGAGTTTATTTGTGAATTATATACAATGTATTCGAAAGTTAAAATTTATTAATAAATAACTTATTCTACTTTCTTTTATACAAAGATATATATGCTCTAAAGTTTCACATTTGTTGCTATGTTGCTTAAAGTATAGTTTATATTAATACCTATGTGGATATTTGTTCAATATAAAAATTTGGTGATAACAGACATACATAACATATACTCCCTCTGTCCCGTTAGAAGGTTCCCACTTTTCTTTTTGGACGTCTCATTAGAAGGTTCTCATTTCCATTTTATGAAACAATTAACAATCTTAAGTGACAAATTAGTCATTAAATATTAAAAATAATACATTTAGAACATCAGAGTTATCAATACTAACATATTATAATATATATCTATTAATAAAATTATTTCTCAAAATTTACCTGAAGTACTTTATTTAATTATCACCTAAACAACCGTGCCGTTTTGCTATGGGAACCTTCCAACGGGACGGATGTAGTAATATATCAACAATATATCTTTGTCACATATGCAACAACAAGCAAAATGCAAATTAAGATTTAATATATCAACATGTTAGTATTATAGCAATAGATTTAAGTGTGTGTACAAGTGTTTCACTTAATTACACCGTCAATATTAAATTTTAATATCTTGCAAATCATAATAAATTTGGTATCAAACATTAATTTTCTAGAATACAAAAGTCATCTATTCCGGTTAGTAATGAGAGACAAGAACAAAAGTCATCGGCCAGGAACAAAAGTCACCCAGAATACAACCCGAAGACATAGGAGGTTCCCGTCGGTCGGGGATCGCAACGGCCAGGGAACCGCATCGGCCGAAGGGTATCGGATCGGCCTGGAAAAGCATTGACAAAACATTTTTTCACACTTAATCTACTAAGTCGTGTACTCAGCCCATTAGTGACCTTATTATGCCCAAAAAGGGCCTTATTATTGTAATGAGCCCTCTAAGCCCAAGGCTAGGAGCCCAAATCCACATCTACTCCTATAAATAGCCCCCAAGGGGTATTTATAGGGAGTTGAGAAATATTAATTGTTTACTTTCTCTCTCTAGCTCTCACTTCTCTCTAGAATCCTATACTCTATCGCACACAAAAAGTGTATGTGTGCACGTACAAATATATTTGTTTGTGCACTAACATGTTTACAAACAAATTTGTTCATCTAGAAAAAATATGCTCGCACTGAAAAATTATGTTCACATAGACAAATTTTGTCGAAAAATGTCTGTATTTTTACTAATTTGTTTGTGTGAAGGGTAAATAAATAGGGTGCAAGGCGGGGGTGTACACCAAGCATTACTGACAATTAAAACCCTTATACTACAATTCAATACGAACTGTAACATTGTACAGGTGAAATTAACTTGGACGTCGAGAAAGCGGAAGAGAACGCCTTCGTGCGTTAACGTTTTAGAATCACGCTTGGCCAGCAGAAACAAGGACATATCTATTTCAATCATGATCAACGGCGATGAAAGAGGCAAAAATAGGTCACGGACGAGAAGGATGATGAGATGAACAAGGAATACGAAGTATTCAGCCCCCCCCCCCCCCCCCCCCCCACACGACCGAACCACCGCATTGGAGCAACCGAAGAACCAGGGATCAGAGGTCGACATTTCGCGGTGGGATTTGGTCACATGCGCTCTTGTGCTATCTAGCTTGTTCAGTGATTAGTCTCGTTCATTTTGGATGATCTATTATGTGTTTGATCAGGGAGTGCATGGCCTATTGGCTATACGGACTCTAGAGGGGAGACTTGATCTATTGATGATGTGGAGATATTTAATTTTATGAATTTAATATAAACTTTTTTGCTTTAAAAAACATTATATTATTGTAGTACTTATCATGTAATGACTTAAAAATGTTCTTAATAAACATAAATATTTTCTACAAAAAATTCACAAGAATAATCTGAACTATTAGCGTTCTAACCATATTAATCTCAAATTTACATAATTCTATAACAATCTCAATTCTCAACTTTATGAGTGATCTTCCAAAATTGATCCAGATTGCCTCCAACTTACTCCGCCGGTAAGTAAATTTGAATAAAAAGAAAAAACAGAACAGAGTTGTTTGATGGGCACTGCATGTTTATCACACGGACATAGCAGGGACGGACAGGTGGCCGGAGATGGAGACTAGGTGGATGAATGAACATATGACGATGATGAACGATGGGCATCATTGAAGAATAAATAGAACGGGCAGATAAATGGATGTCAGATGGACAATTGACGATGAAGAGAGCCTGAGCTGACCAGCATCCCTAATTGCCTAAAACCCTATGGAAAGGAAGAAAAACAATACACGGGGAAGTAGATTCATTAAAAATCTGAAATTTGAGTAGAACTTCTCACATTTGAAGTGAATTCAGAGCTTCGAAGTGAAATTCAAGTAAGGGGAAATTCTAACTGGATTTTCCAATAGTATTGTTCATAAGATAAAATCTACAGATTACATGAAGGAAGGGATAAAACAAAAACAAAAAAGAGACAAAACGAAATTGAGAAGAATTTAGACCATGGACTTTTAATGCAAAGCTTGTCAGCGATGTAATAAAGAAAACAAGAAGGGAAACGGTTAAGTGGAAAAGAAAACGGAAGAAAGAAATAGAGAAGAAAGGATGGGGCGACAGAGAACGTGCACACAGGGAGAAGAAAGAAAGAAGGGATGGAAAAAAGAAATAGAGAATGAAAAAAGACCAATAAAAATACACCACATGTCATTGTGACCTGCTAAATGGGTTAATGCAGGTCATGGGATTGTTTTGGGAAGACACTCTTTATAATTAAGATGATACTAGAATAACACATAATTGAGATTAGAGAGAATTCCCTAAATAGGAGTAAAAACGTTTTGAAATTCCAAAATAGGAGTATCATGTTTTTTATTCCTTGAATAGGAGTAATCTGCCAAGTTTGGAAGAAAATGCCATGTTTAAAAGCCTTGTAATGCCAAACTTGGCAGAAATTTACTCCTATTCAGGGAATAAAAAACATGATACTCCTATTTTGGAATTTCAAAACGTTTTTACTCCTATTTAGGTCAATTTCTGTTGAGATGAGTATAAGAAGACCCCTAATATTTGGGATTATTGATATGAATTTTTCCATTTTTCTATTTGTAATAAATGACACTATAATGAAGGGTTAGTATTCATTGGTAGTTAACACAAAATTA